GGGGACACCCGCAGGGGGCATGGACAGCACAGGGGGTAGCCCCAGCTGCTTTGGGGTTATTTTGCCAACACATTTATTTGCTAATACACTAATTCCACACAGGGCAAGCAAATGTCCCTTGGTCACTACCTGGGAGCAGATGAGAACCACAGGGTGCAACAAAGAGACAGCTTCACAGCACCATTTGCTGTTTCCCTGACCAGCCTTTCCCATCTGGGACCTGAAGTGAGACCAGAGACCCAAAGCTCTGCAGCCTTCTCCCATACCCTTGGGCTTTTCAAGCCAACAAGAGATGTCCATTTTATTTTTTAATCATGAGGGTGATTAGTAACTGTGATAGAGATGTATCTGTTCCTTAGACACTGGGACATGACAGACTGCACGCATCTTCTCAGCCACTCCTTCCCCACCCCTCCAGCCTGCGCTGCCTGGCATTTTATCAAACGAGGGTGGGGGCTGCCTTCTGCGTAGAGGTTGAGTTGATGAGAAGACAGAGAGGGAAAAAAAATAGCAACAACTGTTGACTCAAAGCAAATCTCCTATTGAAAACTGGGTCCCTCCCTCCCCCAGGTTGTCCTTCTACACCTCGGGGTCAGGACTAAAGACGGTTGGGGCGGGAGGGACGACCAGCCTGGGACAATCCAGCACAGCTAATTTTGGAAGTTGCCCCATTGTGTGGCTCCTGGACAAGGAGAAGGGAACTGGTGAGGGCAGGGAGCGGCCGTGGTGGTGGTGGGGAGCCTCGTCGCCTCTTTCTAAGGCAAACAATAGCTGAACGCAGCTGGTGCCCTCCCCCTCTCTTTTCCCCCCCTGCCCCTCCAGGGCCGTTTTGAAAGGCAGCGGGAATGCTTTTGAGACTGCGCCAGTGGTTGGACTGGCATAGGAAACAAAAGCAGGAAATTCTGTTCCCCCGTAGATAGTGTCTCGGCAAGGATTACAAAGCTCCAAACAGACAAAACACGAGAGAGAAGGCGAGCTGGGGGGGCCGGGGGACGACGGGCGGGAGCAGGGTTAGAATAGAAAGGAATTTGCTCTGAAGAGACCGTTTATAAATAAATTCCTGGGCCAGCCCAGCCGCCGTGGCGCGTGCTCCAATTCCCACACGTGCCGACCCCTCCACGCTTCGCCGCTCCTGCCGCTCGCTGCACTCAGCCCCGGCCAAGTGACCCCAAGGCACTACAGCCCCCCCCCGGAGTTCTTATCTACAGGCAGGAGGTGAAGTGATGCTACCCTGACCTAGCCCCTGTCCCGTATCTCACCCACGGACACGTGCTCTGCCGCTCTCATCCAAAGAGCCTCTGGGAGCCCGTGGCCTTTTGTGGTTTAAACTTGAGAACCCACTCAGCCCTTTCCTCCTCTATCACTTTGTTTCCACCCCCCATTTCTCCACCTCCTAAGCTGATCCCTGGCCAATTCAGGCCCTGCTGCTTGTGCATCTCCCAGGGAGAAAAGTTCTGACCTCAGTTCCTTGCACTCACCTTGCCCACCTCCTATCGTTTTGGAAGCCAGTGTCCCTCAATACTGTCCCTCAATCAAGAAGTTAGGAAGAGATCTAAAAAGGCATCTAGCTGCCCAACTCCCACAGGTTTCAGGGGGGCTACGTGTGTAAATAGCCAGGTCTTGGCTCCTGAATGGTTCCTGTATCTATAGTGAGGTCTGTTGATAGTGTGCCTGCTGGAAAACAGAATATCCCCTCCCTCCCCTCCGAAGAGTTAAGAAAAAATAAAGGAGTGTTTGGTGAAGAGGAGATTTACCTACGGAGTCTATCCGCAGGGCACGCTGGAGGTCGCTGATGGAGCGCACTGAGCTGCCACCCAAAATCTCATAAATGTCTTCGGGTATGGGGTCCCCCTGCCAGATGACAAGAAGAAAAGAAGGGGAGAAACAAGCGTTAGAGAGGTGATCTGCAAATACTGACTGCGCCACGGAGTGGGAGTGGGGGGAATCGAAGGAGCACAGAGGAGGCGCAACACAACCAGTGAAATGCAAAGACATGCCCTCGTGAAGGCAGGAGCCCGAAACCTGAGCAAAAGCGAGAGAGCCCCTCTCGCTGCCTCTCACAAAGCGGTCAGGAGACTGAAAAAGCCAAAAAAGGCCCGGGCTGCGCGGGCAGAGGCCCGAACGCTATGCAAGCAGCCAGCAAGGCT